ATAAAGTGATCTTGGAGGCATCAAAGTGCAGGGGAGAGAACATTGCCTCTGTTTCTTAGAACCTAAAGCTTAACATTAGACTGAGTAGGGAGGACACAATGCTCCTTCTCTTAGTAAGAGCCCAGCTCATAGGGAAGCAAACTAGGCTTTGAATGAAGATGAAGGTCAACAGTAGGGTCATAGGACCATTTTCATTCTGCTTTTAGATCTGGGAGTGGGATGGTATGTATTTATGACTCTCTCTCTCTCTCTCTCTCTCTCTCTCTCTCTCTCTCTCTCTCTCTCTCTCTCTCTTTCTCTCTCTCTGTGCGTGTGTGTGTGTTTGAGAGAGAAAGACAGGCAGAGACAGAGAGACAGACAGGGACAGACAGAGAGACAGTGGGAGACATACAGAGAGAGAAAGAGACAGAGCCAGAAAGACAGAGAGACAGACAGAGAGAGACAGAGACAGAGAGTAAGGTCTTCGAGCATTTTGTACCTCTAGGAAACACCACAGGCTGACCTCTGAAGCTCTAGTCTAATATATCCATCTCCAAATCTCCATTAATTAGGCATGATTAACCACCTGCACACCAATGAAATTACCCCCACCCCAACCCCAGAGGACACAATATTGAGAGGATGAAAAGAATGGCCCTGGAGAAGAGAATCTGGGTTTAAATCCTTCCTCATATACTTATTTTCTGGGTAATCATGGGCAAATAACCTAACCATTTAGAGGCTCAGTGTCCTCATCTGTAAAATAATGTTGGACTAGATGGCCTCTGGTGACCCTTCCAACTCTAAATCTATGAAACCATTTTTCCATGACCACATTTTTATAGCACTGACATTCAAAGTATGAAGCACCAAGAATCTGTACTTTAGAGAGGGCACTTTAGAATAATATGATGGGTAGCCTCCTTTAGAAACTTACTACTTTCTGTCTATCTACAGCTCCACAGGGGTTGCTCTGCCCATGCCTGACTCCCTGAGTGGTCATTACATCATGTTTTGGGTGCTTCAGGACACTCACAAGTCCCCCAGCCCCAACTTTCTAATCTCATGCTGTCCAAACTCCTATGGACAATAATAACCTACACAAACTTACACAAATCCTTAATGATTAACATCCTTCAACATAGTCATTCGTCAGCCATCCCAATGATTCTGGACTCCAAGGTGCCCGTGCTCAAACACCATTCACCATCTCCCACTGAATTCTCCCTTAGTCCCATCCTGTCACTCTGATTCCTCTTCATACCTCCTAAAATGTACCCCTCTACAGATACTTATCTCTTCCAGTGCCCTCTATGTAATGCCTACTCCATAGGTAACAAAATAGCTTTCATAGTACACCCTTTCTTTTCTCACTCTCTCCATCTTCTTGCACTCATTGAGACCTGGCTCCTTCTTCATGACACCTTCTTCCTGGCCACCCTGGTACCAAAGACTGGTTGCATTTGCACTCACTCACTGGTCATGGTGAGAGAGTTGGAATATGCCTTCCTCCTCCATGCCTTTTCCAGTCTCCCTCTCTGCCTTCATCATTCAGTAACCTCTCCTCCTTTGAGATGCATAAAAATATATTTATGAACAAATCAAAATTCTGCTGACTTTTTCTACCAATATTCAAACAATTTCCTTCCTTTCTCAATGAGTTCCATGCCTGGCCCTAAGTATTTCTCTCCTCTCCAACCCCTGCCTGTGTTTTATATATACATGTATATATGCATATACACATGCATGTGCATGTATATACATGTGCACATTCATGTAAGTGTGTATATCCTCATATGAAGGTTAGGATGTTTGAAGGGGAAATATATTTGTATATATACATATGTATATCTATATAAACACATATACATGTATGTATATACACATATATACATATGTATATGTATGTGATTATATATATTATGTGTGTGTGTGTGTATATATGTATATTTGCTTACACATTGTCTCCCCTATTAGACTCTGAGTTTCTTAAGAGCAGGGATTATATTTTTTCCTTCTTTGTATCCTCACCAAAATGCCTGGATCACCATAGGTGCTCAATAAATCCTTATTGACTGATGCACTATGCATTTCTATATACTTTCATACTAGCCATTATGTAGAATATGAAGGGATAAGAGTTCTCTGCCCAACGCACTTGCAATTCTAATACAATGACTGTTCTCCACTAGTCCTTTGAAATTAATGTCCATGGGACTAGCAAAGCCCTTTAAAAGTAAAATGAACAAATAAACAAAAACTTAGCTATCACAGGGACATCACATTCATGCAGGAAAATGGTAGACACTGAAGGTCAAAAGCTATCAAAGGGAAAACACCCAAATGTCTTAAATATCTTTTGATATGTTTATCAATCAAACCATGGTTGAGGGGGTTGCTGGAGATTCTTGTGGAGAAGAGGGTGCTAGTCAGCAGCAGGAATAAATCCAAAAATTTGGGAAAGAATACTGACTCTCTGGTCAGAGGACTTGGGTTCAAATCTCACCCTGATACTTATTATCTGTGTGACCTTGGACATGTCACTTAACCCTATTGGGCTTCAGCTTCTTCATATCTAAAATAAAGAGGCTGGATGACAAGATCTCAGTTCCTGTGGCCCTTCTTTGCAGAGATGACAGACTATCAGTCTGGAATATTGCATATGCTGTCAGATTCAGTTGATGTTCTGGGTGGTTTTATTAAACTGCTTTTTAAAAAAAAATTTCTTACAAGTGATACCTTTTTTTCTTTTTTCTTTCTTTCTTTCTTTTTTTTGAGGCAATTGGGGTTAAGTGACTTGCCCAGGGGGACACAGCTGGTGTCTGAGACCAGATTCAAACTCAAGTCCTTCTGACTCCAAAGCAGTACTCTATCCACTGTACCACCTACCCACCTGCCCTTTTTTTCTTTACAGCAACAGTTGACTCAGATGCCCCTGGGGAGTTTCAGGGAGTTTTAGGAGTTGGGAGTGGGAAAACCTGGCCCAGCCTATCTAAAAAGGCTTAGAAAATGAGAGTAGCCCTGGGATAGGGAGGTGTTCCAGGGGCCCAGAGATTCCTCTTGGAAGGGAAGCACAGAGCAAAAAATGGAGGTAAAGGAGAGTGGTACCTCTAGAGATGAGGGGGAAGGGAATACTGCATATACTAGAAGGTACTTTCATATACTGTCAGATCAGTTAATGCATTGGTTGGTTTTACTGAACTGCTTTTTTTCTTTCTTTCTTTTCAAAAATTCTTTCTTACAAGTGATACCTTGCTGGGTAGGGGAAGAGGGAGGGATATATTTGGAAATCAAGGTGCTATAAAATCAAAAGACATCACTAGAAACATCTCAAAAGATTAAATCATAGAACAATTTCAAAACTAGGGCCTTAGTGAAAAAAGAATCTCAGACAAGAAGAGCGCTTTGAGTGAGACCTAACAATAGTACAACATGCGATGCAGAATTGCCTATCAGCTTTGAGTCCAATTTAGGATATGGGATCCCTAGTTCAGGGGAAAAGAAAAGAATGTAGCTCCCAGGCCTGCTTGCAGCCAAGTTTCTATTCTCCCTGGAAATCGCAAGACAGTGGTAACTCTGGGAAAAGAGACCATCCATGAGGGAATAAGCATTCTTCCACGTAAACGAACTTTGAGGCCATTGTAGGTACATGTGGAGATTTTGCTGACCTGAATTAGCCATATCTATCCCACATTTGCAGTTGAACTCACTCCTCTTGAGGCAAACTAGCCATGATGCTTTCATGCCTTCGGAGTTTTAGGACGTAGAGGAGGGATGCTATCGGATTATTCGAGGTCAGAGGTGACCAGTCTTGTGACCTTGGGAACTTGGCTGAGAAAGCTGGAATTGCTATGAAAAGGATTTGGTGATATAGACCAAGGGTAGATAGTTGACCTCTGCTAAGAGGCAGAGTAAACCCTCAAGTTATAAGCACTCTTTGATGATCCACACAAACTATACCGACATTTTTAAAGTAAGTCCAGGAGAACTAAAAGCATGGTAGGAAAGAGAGTGTAGAATTGTAGTTTGCAGAACACATTCTCATACCTTCCAACTCTACATCAAAGGACACAGTGATCCCTTACTTCTAGTCCTCTTGAGTACTGTTTGAATGTCTTTGGTCAATGATATTTACTAGATTGGCTCAAAGAATATATGTGTTAAATTTTTGTGCCCTCTAGATTTCAATGCCCTGGGGCAAAGCACCATGTGTTCTCCCATTGTTAAGATTTTGCCCAATATATGAGAGTTTTAAATTATTCTAATTGTAACAGAATTCCTTAATTTCCAAAAGGATTTGCTTCCTTTTTACTATTTACAAATGATTTATTACATGACAGAAAGGCTGACCAGAAGCAATAACCATGACTAATTAAAGATTAAACAAAAGTGAAGGCAAAGTACTTCTGAAATTATCCTTTAGATGAACAGAGAAAAGAGGTTGATTTATAAAATTTTGCTTTTTGACCTTAACTATGAGAGGTAGCATGGCATAGTAGATAGTTTATTTTGGAGCCAGGAAGACCTGGGTTCAAGTCCCCTCCCCTTACATACACTGGCTGTATGACCCTGGGCAAGTCTCTTAGCTTTCCAGGGTTCTGTGCAAATCTCTAAGATTATATCTGTTATGGAAGGTCTTTAATTGACATTGATAGAAGAAGTTTCATCATCTGAGAATTCTTTATATTAATGAAATCATAGGTCCACTACCTATCTCTTATATATGTACAAGTTGGTCACTTTCATTGGAATGCAGGTTCCTTGAGGGCAAGGCCTCTTTCATTTTTGTGTTTGTTAGGCTCGCAGCACATATTGAAGTCCTTGTCACATGCTTTTTAACTGATTAATTGTACCTGAAATGCTTTCCCATGAAGAAAATTAGATTAACATCTATGCCTTTGAAATGTAAGGAAGAACACAGTCTCCTAAGATCAATCACTTTTTTTTTTTAATCATTAGACTTCACTAAGTTGAATGTACTGGAAGAGCAAACCAGGCCAGCTGATGAGCAGGCCCCCTACCTTTACTGATGTCTTCGTACTCTAGCCAGAGCCGCCGCTGCACCTGCTTGTTTGGGTACCAGATGGAGCATGACTCCTCAAAGCCATAAACAGCCTCCTGGATGTAATGGTTGCCAAACTGGTCCAGCAATGCTACAAAATCTCCCCGAGAGGTGGCTCCATCCAGAGAATGGAGGGCATTGCTGAGAGCTAGAAAGGAGGAGAACACCATTGTCAAATGGTACAAAGAATACAGTAGGGGAAGAGAAGTGAGTGTTTCCAGTTCTCTCTGGATTCCAATCCCTTCAGTCTTCATTATTCCTTTCAATCAGACAGTACTTGATTGTAACTTCTTACAATTAGAGGCCTCTCACCTTCAGACTAGCTATTCCCCTCTTTTTCTAAGACTCCTCTTTGTCCTACATGGGTAGGACGGATGTGGAACATGAAAGTAGAGGTGTTTAGCCCCATGGGTGACCTCCGGGGTAAAGCAGAAGAAATGGGTCTGAACTGCCATCTGTTGACCAAGTAATTTCTTCTGTCATTCTCTGGCTAAAGGCCTGGTACTCACTCGGAGTTATGCGCACCAGCAGGAAGTTGGCAGAGGATAGGGACGGTCTCTTATGCCAGACTGGTCCAAAATGAAGAGCAGTTATGTTTTCAATTGCCACAAGAGGCCCTGTGCCTCTTATCAGTGATGGCCATGTCCTAGTGATTTTTGGCCAAATAATTCTTTGGCCACTAAGCAAAATTTCAAGGAGCCTCTGCTAAGGTTTGCATATAAGTTTTCTGGCTTTGTGCCCCCAAATTAGAAATTCTTGACTCTTTTTACCATCCTTTTTCTTCTTCCACCAATGCATAGAGGTGAGGACATACTTCTTTCATACCCCTTCCTCTCTTCCTTACAAGATACTTCTCTCATTCAGTCTCTCTACCTTCACCCTGTCCATTCATTATGTCTGGAGACTCCCGCAAGCATCACAGAGAAATCAGACCCCACTTTGGGAATACATTAGGAATTTAATTCTATACCTTTCTCGTTTGGAATGGAAGAAAAGGACTCATGGGATCATAGAATGTGGATAGATCTTAAAGGCCCTAATCACTACCTAAATCACAAATTCTGTTGTACTATGGAGAAAAGCACTGGATTTGGAAGACTTAAGCTTGGATTCTGCCTCTACCACTCAGCATAACCTCTATAGGTCTTCATTTCCTCATCTGTAAAATAAACAAGTTAGACTAGATGACCTCTTAGGTCCTATCCACCTCTTTGACATTAATAGGCAACACTAACAAATGACTGAATTGCTTCTGTTTGAAAATATCCTACGATGGGAGAGGCCATGACCTTTCAAATCAGACTATTCAATTTTGAGAGTTCTAATTTTAGGATTTTTTTTCTTATACTGAGCTACAATCTTTCTTCCTGTAACTTCTATAATAGTCATATTTCCTCATGGTCATGCATAATAAGTCTTGATTCCATCGTCTTGATTCCCAGTTCCATTTGGGAAAACATCTACCTATCTATAAACTACAACACAGACCTTATTCAAGAGTTTCCCTACCTTTTCGATGACTCTTCCCCTTTGCCTTTGCTGAATCTTTTTCATTCCCCTATCCCCTTAACCTGAGCATTTCCTAAGGCTCATTCTTTCACCCCCTTATCCATATCTACTCTTTACCTGAGTCTTTGCTTTCAGGTCTTACTTCTATTGGATGACGCCCCAACCAACTTCTCCCTTCCAGGTTTCTGATTCACATTTCTAAATGCCTACAGACGACTACCACTTAGACATCCCACCAGGTTGGACACCTCAAAGCTCACCATGCCTAAAACTAACCTAGCTTGGCCCTGAGTCCTACTATTCTTGACTTTCCTTTCAGCATCACGGTGCCACCATTCTCCCAGTCAGATCTTCCCCTCTACAAAACTGGAAGGTCCACATGGGTGGGGATCATGTGCTATTTAATATTCATTTCTCCCTAACGACCCCCATATAGGAGCCATTTAGTAAACGTCTGCTGATTGAATGAATGCTTGTAATCTTGGAATCATCTTTGACTCCTTTTCTTTCATCCCACATATGTAATCAATTGCCAAGTCCTGTCAAGCATACTTCCCAAATATCTCTTGATTTCACCTCTGACTAACCAGCCCCATGCTCGTCACTCTACTCTCAGCACTCATTAACTATCACCTGGGCTTTTATAATAGTCTCCTATTAGTACTCCCTGCCTTCAGTCTTCGCCTCTTCCTAATATTCTGATAAAAGGCTGCCACATTGTTGTTTCTGGTGCACAGGTATGATGGTGTCACCCTACTGCTAAAAAAAAAAAAACCTTTTACAGTTCCTCATTACTTACCAAATAAAGACCAAACTTCTTATCCTGGTATAGAAGAGATTTTCCATGGGAGTCCTGAAATTGCATCACTGCCTATACTACCTGGATTATTTTAAGCAAGTCAGAGTAGACAGGGGAAAATACATTGGCCCTGGACACAGAAGGCCTAAGTTCAAATCTTGACTCATTTGTTTTCCTTCTGCATGACTATGACCTTGGGAAAATTACCTAGACCTCTGGGCTTCAATTATTTATCTGTAGAGGACAAGATAATCTCTAAGATCATTTTAAGCTGTAAAACATGTGATTTATAGGACCCTGGTTCCATGTTAGGCCATCCCTACTTTGCCATACAAACACTAATCTCTCATACATGATAGGACAATATTTGCTAGAATAAATGCTGAGATTGCTCTTTGAAATCTCTTTTGGTCATCCTGTACCCCAGCTTGCTGCTCTATGACACTCACCCTGGGAGATGGTTGCTTGGTCAAGCCTGATATGATACATCACAGAACGGACTTTCCAGTGTTGTAGTAGAGGGTACCCAGATACCTCGCTGAAGTTCACCATTCCTAGGAACAAGGGAGAAAACATGACCGGTTAGAAAATGGCCCACCAAACACACTGCCCCCCATTGCCCAGATCCAGCCATTTCATCTCAGACCTATTTGTTTTAATCTCTTTAAAAAGAATACAAGGTCCCATAGAGAGTGTGCTGGGAGTTCACACACCATTCCATCTTTTGTTTTCCACGTGATCTCAGTTTCCTCCAATCAGTCAATCAATCAACAAACATTTAAGTGCATATTATGTTCCAGGTACCATTCTAGGTGTGGAAGACACAAAACAAAACAGCCTGTGTCTTCAGGAACTTGCGCTTTATTAAAAATACAAAATAACAATATACAAAGGACCTACACTTGGCCATTTGGGGAATTCTTCCATACACTGTGATCTATTTATAATTTGAAATCTTAGAAAACTGAGGCTCAGAGAACTTTTGTGTACGTAAGTGTAGATAACATTATTTACCTAACTATGTATCCATCCATCTATCTATATAGAGATGAGGCAAGAAATGATAGATAGACATATGTATTGATTGATAAGTAGACAGAGAGATAGACTGATGATATATTGATAGATGATAGATATACAGACAGATGAATAAATAGATGGGTAGATGGATAGTTGATAGGTGATAGGTAGACTGATGAATAGATGACAGATGGATAGATTCACAGATAGATGATGGATAGATGGATAGATGTCATTTGTCCTTTGTTTTTGAAGATCAGTGACATCATAGATGATAACCTGACTTGTGTGTAAATTGGACATAAGTGAGGCAAGTTTGCACAAAGTCATCAGCCTCACTCCCTCTTCCTGAGTCTTCAAAGTCCAGGGGCATGACGAAAGTCAAGATGACCGGCAATAGCCCAGGATACAGTGGTTGGCCTTGGTGTCTTTGATGTCTGACCAAACTCTAAGCTCTCCAAAATGCCTGTTTCAGCTGCCTAGTGCCCATTGTTCTAATCTGCCCATTCCCCCAGAGAAACTCTTCATTTGCTTGGGGTAGACATCCTCCTAACTCACCAACAGGTCTGAGGCCTGTCAATTACCTTCAACTGGGTTTAGCCTGTCTGCCAAGATGGTTTCCTAGGGTGTGGCAGTTGCGCATGCTACAGCTTTTTGGAGCCACGGGTGAGAGCTGGGTGAAGGCAGACATCAAAAGTAGATGAGCAGCCCTGAAAAGGGTTTGGCAAGCCCTCACGCTAGAGGTACCAGTCCTCTCTAAACACCTCATATACCACAGATGGATAAATACACGTGATGGGTAGATGACAGATATACAGATAGGTGATAAATTGATAGATCACAGATAGATGAATAAGTAATAGATGATAAATGGATAGACTGATAAATGATAAATGGATATACGATAAATGAATAAGTGATAGATGATAAATGATGGATAGATTGATAAATGATAAATATACAGATGGATAGATGATAGATGCCTAGATAACTGAAGGGTAGATTCATAGATTCAAAGATAGATGACAGATGAATAGATAGATAGATAGATAGATAGATAGATAGATAGATAGATAGATAGATAGATAACAGACATACTTCTATAAACATTTTTGTTTGGGGCCTATTATTTCCTTACTATGGGGAACTTTCAGTAATGGAAACTCTCTACACCAATACAGATCAGTAGCTTTAGAAAGTTCCCTAGGGCACCAAGAGATTAAGTTGTCCAAGGTTATCCATCAAGTTTGGAACAGCAGCAGGTCTTGAACCCCATATCTTCTGACTCGATGACTAGCCTTCCATCCATTACACCAAAGGTGCCTCTCAGGTGGCATGGTGGATAAAGTGCTTGACTGGGAGTCAAGAAGAGCTAGTTTCAAATCTAGTGTCAGACTTATACTAGTTGTTTGGTACTGGGCAAGTCACTTAACATTTGCCTGCCTTAGTTTTCTCAACTGTAAAATGGGAGTAACCATCACCCTCCCAGGGCTATTGTGAGAATCAAATAAGATCATATTTATAAACACTTTCAATATTTAAAGTACTTCAAACCTGTTATTATTCTATTTGCTCATATTTCTATAATGTGTTAAGGTGTACAGAGCACTTCCCCCCCGCCCCACCCCCCCCAACAACAACAGCTCTCTGAATTAGGCAGTGCAGGGGGTTCTTATCCCCATTTTACTGATGGGGAAGCTAAGATTCATGGAAATGAAGTAACTTCTCCAAGGTCCTACATAAGCATCAGTACCAGGTTCCAAACCCATTTTCCAAGTCCAAGCCCCGTACATCTTCCTCTCTTCTCAGCTGCTTACATAGGTCTCATCATGCTTCTTCTTTCTGAACCTTTAGGGATGCAACCAGCATGAATCCACAATGAATTCATCCTTCCTTGGAGTTCTTTGCAGAAATCTTCTACCTACATGTAATCTTTCCTTTGAGTACTTCAGAAGAAATACACTAAGTGATTTCAATTCTAAAGATAACAATGAAACTAAAAAGATTCAGAACACATTAGCATTTCATATAGTGTTTTGAGGTTTGCAAAACACTTTACCTATGTTACATCATAAGATCCTCACAACAACTTTGTGAGATGAGGGCTAGTTTGATGCCCACTTTACAGATAAAGAAACTGAGGCAGACTGAGGTTAAATGTCTTGCCCAGAGTCACACAAGTACTACATGTCTGGGGCAAGATTTAAATTCATGTTTTCCTAACACAAAATCCAGCATTCCATCCACTCTATCACCCAACAGTTGCTAATTAATTAATGAGGCCACACAAAATAAAAGCTTGAGAAGATATGATTCTTAAAAAGAAGTGGACTGGACAATCTTCCAGCTGTGCTGTAGCTCCAATCCTGGTCTCTGGGCTGAGCCCTACCTGGTGTTTTCCTTGTTATTCAATCTCTACTGGGCTTGTATCCCAGAACTGCCCAGCTGGCAGCCTGTCGTGTCTAATGAAAAAGACCACAGGACCTGGAGTCTGAAAAGCTGTTTCCTTATCTAGAAAACGGCAATATTAGTATTCACCCTGCCTATACCACAGATTTCTTGGGGAGGGATGGGGAGAGAGGGGGAAAGAATAAGCTCACTTCCATAAAATTACTTTGAAACAATGTCTATCAGTTACTATTGTTGGTGACTTGAGGAAATGAGGAGGAAGAGCAAAAGGAGGAGGAGGAAGAGGAAGAAAAGGAGGAAGAAGAAGAGGAGGAGAATGAAAGGGAGAAGAAAGAGGAAGAAGGGGAAGTAGAAGAAGAGAGGAAGAGGAAGAAAAAGAGGAGGAAGAAGAAAAGCAGGAAGAGGAAGATGATCATAAGAAAGATGAAGAGGAGGAAAAGAAAGAAAGAAAAGAGAAGCAGAAGGAAGAAGATGACAAGGATAAGAATGCCAGTATTCTCATGAAAATGTACAAGGCTTAAGAACCTAGATCAGGAAACCTGGGCTATACTCCTCACTTTATCAGCAGTGTACAGCAGGAAGATCACTGAATAGGCCCACAGATAACCTGGCTTCTAAACCCTGCCCTGCCCCACCAGCTGTGGTGGGAAACTGAACAAATCACTTCCCTTTTCAGACACTACTAGTTTCCTCATTGGTCAAATGAGAATAACACCCACTCTACTTGCATATAAGGAGTGTCGGGAGAATCATATTAAACTAAGGGTGCGAAAACACTTTGGAAAGTATAAAGGACTATATGAATATAAGAAAATATGTCTGTCATCACCAACATATCTACAAATAGAAAAAGAACCTTTATAATTGGAAAAAAATGCCAGAGCTGGGGGGTGTGGGTGGAGTGGGGAGGTCCTGGGGAAGAAGGCTGGGCTCTACTCCTTCTTCCACTTGTTCCTGGATTCAGGACTATGGTCAAGTCATTTCATGTCTAAACCTGATTCCACCTCTAAAATGGGTATAATTATCCCTGGATCACTTACCTCACAGGGATGTTGTGAGTTCCAAATAAGATAATCTAGCAAAGCACTTTAGAAACCTTAAGGTGCTCCGTCAGTGCTAGCAATGATTATAACCTGTGATCTCAGGTACAACCCTTTGCACCTCACAAAACATAGAGCAGTAAAGCTAAAAAAGACCTTAAGGAGCACCTGGTCCAAGTGCTTCACTTGAACAATAAAGAGATGAAGTCTCAGAGATGTGGAGAGACTTGTTCCACGGTCACAAAGCACTTTGTTATTGGGAAGGTCAGCTCTCCTGAACCTTAGTTTAGTTCTTATTCTCATTCTCTCTCTCTCTCTCTCTCTCTCTCTCTCTCTCTCTCTCTCTCTCTCTCTCTCTCTCTCTCCCTCCCTCTCTTCCTCCCTCTTTCCTTCTCCCTCCCCCTTTCCCTCTCCCTTCCCCCTCCCCTTCTCTGTCTCTCTCCCTTTCCCTCTCCCTTCTTTCCTTCCTCCCCCCTCTCTGCCACAATTTAGTTTCCTACACTTTAGTTCAGCAAAAGGAAGGTGCAGGGGTCAGAATAGGGTGGGGGGAAAGGGAGAGAAGGGAAAAAAAGGCAGGAGTAGAAAACTGACAGTGGCCCGCATTCTCCCACTGTGCGTGGAAAAACAGTTCAATTACATAAATGTTCAACAACAAATCCTCCCAATGCGTTTGTGATACATCAGAGTCATGGAAACGGTTACCTAACGTTTGATGCCTGTAAAGTGTTGCGTCATACCTCTTTAAAGGTGATATTTCTATAGCTTAAAAAATACAGGGTTATTTTTAAGTACTCATTTTCAGACCAAGCATATTATTCAGCAAATCCTGAAGTTTGACCAAATAAATGTGTGGCTTTCCCTACGTGCCTTGAAATTCTGAACCTCACTAATACGGTGGCTTAGACATGTGGACAGCTTAGGACTCTTTGTGGAGGTTGGGGAGTGAAGCCAGAGGAGGCACTTCTGAATTAGTCTGTTTCATGCAAGAGAGCTCCTCTGGGTAAGTGTTTTTGCTTTCATCTATGCTTGAATCAAGAATGGGTGTGCAGACTTAATGGAAAACCTGTCTTTAATACCTACTAACT